GCAGTTGGGGATGCTCCTAGGCACAGCTGCATATTTACAGGTTTACAGTACAAATAACTCACTTGTCAGCCCAGAGACAGCAAAAGGGATTCATGGGAACAGAAAAGTGCAAATTTTCTTTGCAGGAAGTGAAGGAATTGACACAACCTCCTTTGGACCAGAGAAATACCAGGGTGTGTAGTACAAGGGAGCTCTTCCTAAGGGGCCGGGGTGCTCCTAGGCACAGCTGCATATTTACAGGTTTACAGTACAAATAACTCACTTGTCAGCCCAGAGACAGCAAAAGGGATTCATGGGAACAGAAAAGTGCAAATTTTCTTTGCAGGAAGTGAAGGAATTGACACAACCTCCTTTGGACCAGAGAAATACCAGGGTGTGTAGTACAAGGGAGCTCTTCCTAAGGGGCCGGGGCTTTGCTGGGAAAAGCCATTTAGCTAACTTACAGCCAGAATATAATTGTTAAATTAAAATATTTACAGGGAACCGGTGCACTGAGGGCTGCACGGAGCAGGACACACTACTGTGGAGGTCGCTGTATCCCAGAGCTGAGGCCTCACACACCCCAGTGTCATGACACTGTGTTCAGAGCCACCGCCCACGCTGGGCTCTCAGCAGAGACCACAGCTCACAGACCCACTGAAGAGTTTTCTCTATTCAATATACACTTCTTCCCTATGAAAATACTCTAATCAGCTTATTGCAGAGGTCTTCTCCTGAATTTTCAGTCCCTGCGTGGACTGCACAAGCCGTCTTTACAGAACAATAAATCCCTTGTTAATTTTTCTTACTGGACCCAAGTTTTTTGAAGAGCTTTTTTCCTTTGAAGAAGAAGCCTCTCCTCTTTTTACTCTGACCAGGTGCATCACTGCATTTCAGAACGACCAGCGATGCCTGCTCCAGACACTGCTCGCCCATGACAAGGCAGGAAGGCGGTAGAGTAGGAGTTGGTGAGGAATCGCTCTGATCAACAGATCCATCTGGATTTAACTGAAGGGGAAAAAGAGAAAACAAAAGAAAAAGCAGAAGTTAGAGCTGATGAAGGACATCGTGCCAACGTAAACCTCAGCCAGAGAACCCTGCCTTCTCCACGCCAGCCTGCCCCTCACCCTGCAAGGCTCAGCTCCTCTGTGCAGTTGAAGCTTCCCGTGGATTTAAATTTTTTTGTACCCGCTGCCCAGACCCTACCTGGGCTGCATCAGAAGTGTGGCCAGCAGGTTGAGGGAGGTGATTCTCCCCCTCTAATCTGCTCTTGTGAGACCGCACCTGGAGTGCTGCATTCAGCTGTGGAGCCCTCAACATCAGAAGGATATAGACCAGTTGGAGCGAGTCCAGAGACAACAAAGATGCTCCGAGGGCTGGAGCCCCTCTGCTATGGGACAGGCTGACAGAGTTGGGGGTGTTCAGCCTGGAGAAGAGAAGGCTCTGGGGAGACCTTATAGC